TTTTTTCGAATCAGCGGAGTATTTTTTAATAATGTGGCAAGCTTCAGGTTTCTCCACACATCAGGAAGGAGCATTGAAGATATAGAATTTGCTATATTTTATGGTGCAATATCGAAATTTGCGGAACCGAGCAGACATCTTCTTCCATCCATTACAGACCACCTTTTATATGGTTTATTTTTATTAATTTCAGATTCGAAAGCCATGGAGGTGGCTGGGGCTATTCGGGGCACAGCATCGAAGCCATCCGTTTTATGGCCGATACCGATATTCTGTTGGGGGGCTTCGGGCTGTTTGGAGGCCGAGGCGAATACACAGCCAAACTGAAGCTTCTGGACATCGGCCCCAATGGGGGCGAACAGGAGGTGGATGGGGAACTTCTGACCGAAACCGAAGAAGTGCCTTATGAGTGCGGGCCCCGACAGAAGTACGCCATGCTCTTTGAGGAGCCAGTTCAATTGCAGGTGAGCTTAGAAGTCTTCCCCGACTTTAGGCACTGTTTGAGCTTCAAAGTTATAGATTTGCTTCTTGTAGGCGCATCGTTGGTATGTAGCATGGTGCAGAATAAGCGGGCCCAGCAGCGACTGTGGATCGTCCGGGCAGACGATGGTGACCACCGAAGATCAAGTGCTGTTCTACTTTAAATCGTCCAAGAAGTCCAACAATGGGACTGATGTCAATGCGGGGCAAATTCCCCAGTTGCTCTACAAAATTGTGAGTCCGGAGAACCAAAGTCCACCCAGACAGGTGAGTTTGCTGAGGATCAAAGGGCTGAAGAAGAATGCGATGGATCGTATATAGAAAGTGTCGAGGGTATGAGAAAGGGCCCTTATTTTCTCCACGTGTTCTACGTGCGAAAATAACCCTAGTTTGCCGCTGAACCAACAATGCTTCGTTAGAGACTTAGAGATTTTTAATGCTTCAACTTAGATACTTCTGCAAGGTTGCAGCAGGTAAAGCAAGGTTGCTTTTATGGACATGCAAAGTGTAAATTTGTTGCCATAGTCAGGGATTTTTTACAAACTGGTCGAGTTACAACTGACATGTTGGCAGGGTTCTGTTTGAAAATGCGCAACGCAGGTACCAATTGAGCTGGGTATTATCAATTTGCCTCGGTCTTTAAGGAATTTTCACGGAGCGTTTGTGCAGGGTTATGTTTGAGAATGAACCTTGCAGGGACCAATCGAATTGGGTACTTCTCGAAGACTGTACTGGATAGAGAAAAATCGGCCTTATCAATGCTGCAAGCTTGAATTTGCCACCGTCAACAGGAAGTTTTTGGGAATTTTTCGAATATGGTCAATTTTTTACAGACATTTTGGAAGCCTGTGCATTTAAAATTTGATATTCACCAATATTCAACAGGCGTTTTGGTTGAGTTTGTTTTAAAAATTCGTATTTTAGCTTCCAATCGAGCTGCATCCTTCTAGTAGCTCCTATTAGATAGACGAAAATCGCTTTTATGATTGCCAAAAATTTCAATTTAGTGCCATAGTCAGGAGTGTCTAAAGAATTTTTCCAAACTAGTCCATTTTTAACGTGCGTTTTAGCAGGGTTCTGTTTGAAAATGCTCA